ATTTACATACATTCCAACAGGTCTATCGTCTTTACAAAGACCAGCTGACCATGAAACACATTGAAAACGTCCTTCATCATCTCAGCTTGCTTGTGTGGAACTCGGTCTCCCCGCGCTACTCTCCAGATGTTGACCGACCCTCGGCCCTGCAAGCGCTAGTCATTGATTGTATTAAGACGCTCTGCTTGGAAAAAGAGGAGTCCCAGCCGGATATTCTCTTGTGTCTGGCCGAGCTATCCGATTCAGCACTATCAAAATGGAGCCCCGGCAGCGACACTCGAAGACCAGGGTTCGTGGCCTTCTCGAAACACACCATCGACCTTGTTAGCTGGTATATTGCCGAATTCGGCATCAAGCAAGACGTCTTCACAAATGGTGCTCTTGCAAAATCCCTCGAACACCTCAGTGCCCTTATTGCGCAAAAGTACACATGGCAAGGGAAGGACCGCGAGCCATTCCTATGGCAGAAGGCCACAACAGCATCCCTGAACGTTCTCCAGATCGCGGTCCCCTACGTGGAAAAGCAATACAGAAAGACGGACGAGTCCGAAACATCCCAGTTCTGGCAACGCGTCGTCGATATCACAAATGGAATTGTTTCCGCCCACGGCTTCCAAGCCCAGCAAGTCCCCAACGCCCGAATCACCACAGACGAAGCATTCGACACTAAAGCCTTCACCCGCCTGAAGACTCTCATCCTCCCCTCCCTCGGAGCAGCAGCAATCCCAGATGACGTCCGCCGTGACTTCGCCCGCGGTCTCTTCAACTCCTCCTTCATCTACGCCCCCCTCCGCTTCGACCTACCCACCACTGGCCTCGAAAACGCACCCCTAAAGGACTTCTACACCGTCCGCCCCGGCCGCACGTTTGACCCACCGCCAACCCTGCGTCCGGGAATAGCCTACGTCCTCCTAGACACGCTCTTCGAGCTCGCCGCATCCTCGCAAGCCAAGGCCGAGACACAAGCCGACGCCCCGTCCCCGCAGACCCTGCTCGCCCGCTCGATCTCGCCCTACCTTCTCCTGCGCTGCGCGGTATCGCTCAAGTCTTATATCGCAGACCAGCCGCTGCGCGGCTTGATGCCCCAGCCCACGCCTGCCCGCAAGGCCCTGCTCCATCTGCTCCTCCACATGGTCGAGCTGAAGAGTGAGCCATCGGCCATCCCGGGTCCGCCTTCGCTGAAGACCGTGTCGGTTGTCGAGGCTGGACATGCGGAGGAGCCCCACTATCGGAAACATCTGGAGTGGATTTATCCGTTGGTTGTGCGCGCTGTGCAGGTCGCCGGTAAAGAGCGTGACGACGGGCAGATTCTTCAGGCACTGGGGAAAGTGTTGCAGAAAATTGGTCGGTTTGAGTATTAAAGGTAGGGTTGGTTCGTGTGTGAATTAATACCCGGCTGCGTGTGTACTATGTACTATGGCGATCAATGCATTCTTTTACTTTATACTCTAGATCCAAGATTCTCCTGGGCAATACATCACGCAGAACGGGAGACATGCTACAATCTGAGTCTAAAATGAGGTTCGATTTGGAATGAAGCTTGGCACGAATGTAGGCGGAGTAAGGTATACTACAGAGAGATATCGTGACATAGCCCTGAGAGAGATCAACGGACACAAAAGGAATAGCGAGTAGTAGAGCAGTAGGGAAAATCGAGATCAGAGATAAGAGGCGGGTATAGAAGAACAGATCCGCAGGTACCAAGGGGCTGTAAGAAAGACGCGAGCGATAATGAGGATAGAATAAGATAGTCTATGCTGCGGGCGCGGGGACAGGCTGAGGGTCTTGCCGAGGGGGTGCGGTGACCTCTCTGCCGGGTCCAGCGGTAGCAGAGCCTGGTGGAAGAGCGGGCTGCTGGCGCTGTTGCTCGAGGAGCATCTGCTGCTGGATCTGCTGCTGCTGTGCGATCTGGGGGTTCGGGGCGATCTCGGGGGCTTGGCGGTAGAGCGCAATTTCGGACTGTTTGAAGTAGCGGCGGGCATCTGTTGTTGGGTTAGTTTGAGATTAACATTTGAGATTGTAGGCCAATGATGTATCAGAAGCGGGATGAGCGTATGGTAAACTGTATCGGTGGAGTTGCCAGTTCCAGAAGAGGTTTAGCGTGGGGGTGTCAGGTCTTTGGGGGGCAGATGCGACAAAATGATGCAAACCGGGCCGATTTGGATGGTTGTATTAGGTAACTTCAATTGCCGACGGCTATTGCATGCTTTTTGCCCGTCTCTGCACCCCGCATTTTGGGGCATGTCATGGACTGATTTGAGGATTGCCAAGGACGGGAAAGGCCGGGGAAAGAATGGAGAAAGAATGGAGTAAGTAGGGCTTACCTTCGTCAATCAGTACGAGACTGAGATAGTACCTTGTCGAGTACTTCTTGTTGACGTCGCGGAATGTCGGCGTCAGGTCAAATCCACCAAGGAACAGACGGATTGGAATGGTTTCACCTATGGCAAGTCAGCTATGCCCAAGATTACCCCAAGCTTGCCAACCCTCGCGACAATCATTAAGGCCGCAGGGTGGTGGCCGTGGCGGAGTCCAAGTTTTCAAGGTGTTCACCAACCTCTCGATGGTGAACCGTCCATAATCTGCACGCAAGTTAGCATTCTTATGTTCTGCATTTCATACCCCAATATCACATCAAGTGTGTCCAATAAATCACATACCTCAAAGCGCACCAAAGTCTCACTCTCGTTATATTGATTTGGCGGGGATCCCGTCGTCTCCCGCCGAATGATAGACAATTCCATATGCTTAATCTTGAGTCGCACGAGCAAGAAATAGATGCGGCCAACAATCACATCCTTGAGATGATACTTGGATTTGGAGTATTCGAATTCGATATGCAGGCAGTCCTCGATACCGACGTCCATCTTGATGGGGCTGTTATTCTCAGGTGGCATGCGGTACGAGTACACCCACAAGTCCTTTTCCCGAATGACATCCGCCATGCGCCGTGAGACGGTCACCCGGACAAAGTAGCGCAGCTTGACGTTGATGCCATTGTAAGACTCGTATTGCTTTTCGACGTTCTTGAAATTGAAGGGGAAGGTCTGCGGATGGAGCAGCTCGCCAGGCGCGGCGAGCTCCTGGACCAGTGAAAGGAATTCATAATGGTTGCCTCGGTCGTAGAACATCTCTGTATTCCGAAATAGAAAGGTGTTAGCGGCCAGTTTGCCATGGCGAATTCAGCCTGGAGATGCTGGATGTTCCCACGCACCAATTGTGCCGATAAATTGCACCTTGATCCCCGTATGTTCCAGTCGCTTGCCATCCTTCGGTCTGATAGTCACGGCACCCTTGACGGACTCGCCATCCATGTACAGAGGGACCCGCTCGCGGCGGCCCTTGTCGAGCTTGACGTCAACGGTCTGGCGCTCATCGAGGTCTTCGAGGACCACGTCGATGTCGACCGGGGTGGAGAAGAAGAGCGAAGCCATAGTGGAGGTAAGTGAGGCTGCAGCAATCGAGGCCCGAACCAATAAGTCGGAGCTTTGATGATCTGGAGCTGTCGCGGTGGCCTGGAGACGGCTTATGTAATACCGCCTCGCCGCCCCGCCCCCATGAACTGATATCCGACATGTTTTTGTATAGAACTGGTGATTGTAATATGAGATCTGGATTAATATCTACATGCGATGCTTGACACTCTTTTTATATTTAGCTCCAACTGGTCTCCCGTGTTAGTTCTGGAACTCATCAAAGGTAATGCCACTGATCTACAACTACCCGGAACTTTGGACTTCGTGGGCTCTTCAGACATGTCAGATCCACTGACAGGGACTCCTCAACATTTTCCACCGATTGGACCTGAAGCCCGTCTGCGCTGTCCTTCAAACAAACGTCCAAATACAAATTAGCCATACGGATCAGGACCCAGCACACCCTCTGAACTACACCGGACAAAACACGAGATCGGATATGTCGGAATCCGCTTCCCGTCACAGTCAGCTTCCCTCATGACCAGAGACGCAACTGACGGAAAATGAGCTCTAATCCAAGCAATGATCCGACTGGTTTACCCGCTGGAAGTTCCCTTCTTCCCCGGATTTGAGGGGAAAGCAATGGCTTGGTCTCATGCTTACCAGGCACACCTGGGTATAGTCGGTGTGATTGTAGGGAATCACCATGCATATTCCCTTATATTTTCGTGTCCTCTCAAGGTCCTATCGGATAAGACCATATTCCCCGGAACATTTGTCTCCCCTGTGTGTCTGTGTTTCACGGGATTGAGTATCGGCAATCCGTGTACGTACTCCGTACGATCTTTCAAGAATCGGGTGGATCTGCGAATCTCCCAGAGTGTGGGGGGCCGTCTCTCGGTGTCGACTTACTCGGAGTAATGTTCGGCACGGGACAAGTAAAAGATAAAGAACCTTGAAATGACGCGGATATTAGTGGGATCAATTCAAAATCCCACAAAATCCCACAACATTGGGGATAATAGGAGCCTGATTGAGGTATCCCAACTGGCGGTGTCTTTCTAGCGTGGGGGTGAGTTACAGTAATACCAATACCGTGACATCATGAGGATACTTTTGCGTCAACCGGTATGTATTTTATCGATGTGTAGTAGTTAATAGAGACTTAATGTAGCCACGTATAAGTAGAGAAGATAATTCTACATATAATCTCATATCCTTTGAATCCTGGCTATTCACCTTCCCCGGGTATACATAGTCCAAAGATATATTAGCCTACATTGTACATAACATGAAGAACCAATAGCCGTACGAATGTTGTCCCCCACTCGGCTTCTGCTTGAATCTTTTCTTACCCGACCCACCGTCATACAATATAAGTACTTAGAAAAAGTATGCCCTTCCAAGGTTTTGTTTCTGAACTTTTATTTCTGAATCTTATAGACCTGTTATAGAACACCTTTCCTGTGTATCACTGCAGCGTCATATCTCCACCTCGACCCAAGTTATTATAACGGAAATCCAAAAGAGAGATAACTCTCCTTCCCCCCCCCCCCAAAAACGAACTCTCAATCCTTCTACAACATGCTCTCCGCAGGGGAACGGCCACAGCCTCCCCACCCTCCAACCATAATAGATTCCGCCGTGAGCAAGGCGCGTATCATGCCGGACCTCACCAACGGAACCAACGGCGTGACATCCTCCACACCCTCCAAACCCGCGGAAATGCAACATATCTGGATCGTGACTGGGCCAGCAGGGTGCGGAAAGAGCACCGTCGGCAACGTCCTACGCACCGAGCTAGCGATCCCATTCCTAGAAGGCGACGACGTAAGTACCCAAGTACCTGAACACACCACACATACCTCATACACCTCCCAACCCATCGAATTGCGCCCAAAGCAACCCCCGGAAGCCACTCCCCCGAATTGTGTACACATAACTAACAAAACCCCAGTACCACCCCGCGTCAAACAAAGATAAAATGGGCAACGGCACACCACTCACAGACGAAGACCGCTGGGACTGGCTGATCTCCCTGCGACGAGCAGCAATCGGAGTGCTCTCCCCCTCAGAAACCAACAACTTCCACCCACCCACCGGCGTGGTAGTAGCCTGCTCTGCGCTGAAGCAGAAGTACCGGGATGTGATGCGTGTCGCTGCATACGGCTCACCCTCGGTGCAGATCCACTTCGTCTACCTCAAGCTCAGCGAGGAGGTGCTGATGCAGCGTGTCACACAGCGCAAATCACACTACATGAAGAACAACATGGTCCACTCACAGCTTGCGGCGCTTGAGGAGCCGATGGGCGAGTGGGATGCTATGACTATCAATGTTGAGGGCACGGTGGAGGAGGTGCAGCGGAATGTTATTGATGCTGTTACTGATAAGCTTGCTGAGTATAAGTGATCCTTTTTCTCTCTCTGTCTTGCAATGAATTGACGGGAGTGAGTTCACTTTGTGTACTTGGTGGGATTGTCGGTGATGTCTCATTTCCATGTGGATTCGTGCGAAAATGGGTATGATCTATGCATGGAGGATTGTTTAGCATTTTGTTTCTTTTCTGTTCCTTTTCGGTTTTGTTGTTCCTCCCAATGGTGTTTGGTGTTTTGGCCGGCTTGGCTATAATGCCACCGGTCTGTTTTAGATCTGGCGTTCTCGATGAAGCTCGCATCTCGAGCTTCTGGTTTGATATATCAACTGTCTGGCTTGACAGGCTTCGCGATATCCTTTGTTTTGATGAGAATTTCCATATCAATTGACCTGTCTATATCTTTTTCCATCTTTCGTTTTCTCTATACAATGTACTAAGAAGTCCAATCTATAACATATTGGAGCCAACTAGATAAACAACGCAGTGTCTTAGTACTCACAAGATGTTATTATTTAGATATAACTAAGTACTTTATCAAAGATGTGACTTGTCTAATTTACCTGAGATTTAGAAGCATGAGCTCGGGCGACTCAACTAGCTCCTTAACTCTGCTACCCATCCTCGCCATTGTCGCACCATCAATGACACGGTGGTCCGCACTCCAACTGAAGTTAACCATATCCCCGCGTGTAACCTGTCCATCCTCATCAAAGACCGGCACAGCTCTAGACCTACCCACGCCGAGAATAGCCACCTCCGTCGGCACAATAACCGGAGCCACATATGTACCTCCGATATTGCCGATATTCGACACGGTGATAGTGCCACCACTGAGATCAGCGGGCGTCAACTTGCCAGCATCACCAAGGGCACTCAACCGCGCGATCTCAGCGGCAATGTCGAAGATCGAGCGGCTGGCGACGTCCTTGATGTTCGGAACAATCAGACCGTTCGGTGTATCCATAGCGATTCCGATATTGTGCTTGGCGCGCATGACTAGCTTGGGCTTTGCGGGGTCGGTGACATCGACCTTTGAGTTGAGGATTGGGAACTCGGTCAGAGCCTGTGAGACGGCCTTGACGACGAAGGGGAGGAAGGTGATTTTGGTAGGATCGCGTTTGTCGCTGGCGAGTTTCTTGCGGATGGCGGTGATGTCGTTGACTTTGAGTTCATCGGCGTAGAGGAAGTGTGGGGTGTTCAGGGATTTGGTCATTGTCTTGAACATCTGTGATTGGATCGGGGTCAGGTTGACGATTGACTCTGCTTGCCGTGTGTCTGGTGACCCGGAGACTGCGGCGGGCACTGATGTTAGAACCGCTGGAGAATCTCTCTGGGCTACGAAGTTCAGTACATCTTCTTTCATCACCCGCCCGTCTTTGCCGGTTCCGTTGACTTCGAGGATGTTCACGCCGTGGCTCTTCAATAGCCCGCGCACTGCGGGAACTGCAAGGGATGCATGCTTTGTCTTGGGTGTCTCGTCTAGAACATTCCTAGGAGGAGGGGTTATTGGAGAGGACTCGGCTGCTTGAGTTGTAGCTGGGACCTCGGGGGCTGGAGTAGGTTCAGACGACGCTGCCCTTGATTCATGCGGCGGGTTATCATCGGGGTATTTTCCATCCGCAACTTCGATGTCGCAGAGTGCCTACCCAATCCTGTTAGTATGGTAATTGCAGTGCGATGGTCAGGTGAATAAGAGTAAAGGTAGTACACACCCTTCCTGTAGGCACTGTGTCATCTGTCTCGAAGTGTAGTTTCTTGATAACGCCCTCGTATCTCGAAGTAATCTGGGTTCGTTAGCCATTAGCCCATAATACGGGAATAAAGGAGTAGCACTTACATCATCGACTGCTTTATCTGACTGATATTGGCACAAAGGCTTCCATTCCTCAATATGAGCCCCTTCTTCCACGTACCATTGAATGATCTGGACCTCGGTGATGCCTAGTAATTGTAAGTAAGCAAATTGAGCAATGAGGTAGGGATTAGGTATTGATTACCCTCGCCAACATCCTTTAGAACTTGGGACTTAATCCCCCAAAGTAGAGAGCTGGCATGGAATCTCCTGGACAAGAGTGGAGGTAGGGTGGAGCGAGTGCGGAGGCGATTCTGGGGTAGGAAAGGCCTGAAGTTGCGGGCAGCGAGCCCCCCGCTGCGGCTGAAAGTCATGATAGAAAGGACAGGGTGGTATAGACAGATTCAAAAGATGTTTTTTGAAATTCCCGAAGAGAAATGGAGCATTGTGTCTATTTTATTTGGCACTCGAGCATCGATTCTTCTGCCCGCACGCCGACGCTAACCGATACTACCCACGTGACCTCCCCGCATTTATGCAAGTATGGGGGAAGTATGGCACTGACGTTATGGCCTCATTTCTTTGTCTATTTTTCAGATTGCTGGACAATTAATGCTATTGCACGTCTTCTAAAGAGTCAATTGTGAAGTATCAATTGGGAAGAGTTAAGCAAATAAATATCTCATGGGCTACATGGACACCTGGGCAGTATAAGATGAAGCAGACTAACAAATAGAGCCCAAAGGGAAGTTCCAAGGTTATATTAGTAAAGGACAATTGAAGTACCTACCTAGGTAGGTACTAGAATGGATACAAACAATGGAATTGAATTACTTAACTATAGTCCAAGGGGGTCAGCCAAAATCCTCCCTGGGTGGCTGAGTGGGTGAGAGACACAAGGCCATCTGATTGCTGGGTGGAACAATGACCACGGGTGATACCGCATTGGGAAGCTCAGTTAATGGTGAAACTGGTCAGGGTTTCAATCCTCGCCAGGAGTAGTTGGGGTACGGATTATCTTTTTTTATCATTTCTCTCTCTTCTTTCAAGGTTGCCTTGCCAAAGAGACTAGTATAAGACCATTATCCCATGTCTCATTCTAAGTGAAGGGTAACACCTTCCTTATCACGTCAAGGTTCCTTCCAACGTCCTTGATATAAGTGTGTGATGATGTATCCATGAATATGCCATGAGGGCTTTTAGAGACCATCCGTTAGTCCTTTGTCTTCCCGCTCAACTTATACCTATGTAGGTAGTATACAACCTTGGAAGAATGTAGTTAGCCGCTTATGCAGCCTGGTTGTCTCTGTCTTAGTGGTCTTTTTAGGAGCCTTTTTGGTAGTCCATTTGGTAGTCTATTTAGTACAGGCTTTTTGTGGTCTTTTCAACTAGTCTTTCTTAGTAACCTTTCTTAGTAGGCCTTTCCATGCCCTCCTTTACATATTTCCTTGGATGGCTTCAAAACCTTTTATGTCTTCAGGATTCCATACAATCTGGTACAGTCCTCCATGGCTGGAGGTCATCCATGGATGCCCCATGACGATATAAGATAAGCATTTATCCAACCTTGGAAGGTTCCTCCTTCCCTCTCTCACACTTCCCTCATCCACTTGGCTTCCACTCCCCCCTGTCAAAACTAAAAAAAAATGCCTGTCGGTCGACCATCGGCGCAGCCTGGGCGATATGGGGGGCGGAATACTAAGGTGGTGGGTGCATACATGATCACAAGTAACCGGGTTTTCCCAGCTCACGGGGCGTTCCTCCTTGCTAGCTGGTCTACAGACGGCCATTCCTCCCTCCTATCATTCTGTTAGCTGTATTCCCTGAATTTCTGTGGTTATGATGTCCGCCCATGTCACTGGTCAAGCCACCTTCCTCCTTGCTAGCTGGCCCATTTACCTAACGAGACAAGACCTTCTCAATGACGCGGTTGCACCGGGCTCGCAAGGCAACGATCGCCTAAGTTCGATATCCCTTTTCTCCGAGATATCACCGCCGAAACGGGTTGAATACAATATGAACTACATATGGTATGATTTTGCTAGAGGTACATCTATGGTAGGCATAAACCGGACCAAGGTTGTCAAGCCGATGACCTCAATCTTAGAATAATTCGGAGAGATTGAAAACATTGAACTTTCCTCTCATTGTATAAAATACAGAGGCATAATGGCTTCGATCCAGGCAAATGATGAAACAAATGCTTACAATATGCAATTGTACGGAGTAGGCTCGGGGATGTTAGGCCCAGATCGCCAGGGCCGAGCTAGGCGCGACACTAACTGCCCACATCGTACATCTACTCGGCACAGATCTTGAAAATCTCCCCTCTGTCTTGCAATCGAGATATCCACACGAATCTGCTTTACGTGCCAAGAAGAAGGGCTCCCCTATCGGAGATCGTCCGCTGATCCCCAGTGGAGGGGTAATCCACTTCAATCTCAGCTCTCCAGGCAGCCGATTCCGACCCATATTGAGACAAATCCCTCGCACACAGACTTGCACTGATTTCGATTCGAACAGCCAATTCACCATGGTTGCCGAGCACCTCACTATCCGCAACAACACCTCTACTCCAATCGCCCTGAAGCGCATTGAGCGCTTCCAGGCACCGGAGAAAGATGGGTTCAATGCCTTCAGCACAATGGCCAGGAACTTCACCCAAGTCTTGACCAACCAAACCCGCAACGAGGAGGTCTCCTCCATCGAACAGGACAGCCGTCCCTTTGAGGAAAAGGATGTTGACATTCACCTGGAGCCATTCGCAACCAAGAAGACCGAGCTTCCCTCCTTCATCCACTCCGACAAGGAGCGCATGCGTCTAATCTTCGAGGTCGAAGGCCAGAAATACCAGATACAAGTTCCCGTCCCAACAGCAGAGTCAGCAGGAATGAAAGCACTAAGCGAGAACCCTAAACACCGCTTCACCGGCGTCTTCGTGACCCCAGAATCCTTCCTCGCGATCTTCTCCTCGGCCAACCTGAACGCCTGGATGCGCGAGCTCCGCGACGACACCCTAGTTTCCGCACTGTCAATCCCAGGCACGCACAACTCGCCCACATGCCACATCGCGCCTCCCTCGGTGCGCTGCCAGGCCGTGAGCCCGAGAGAGCAGCTTGAGAATGGCGTTCGGTTCTTCGATATCCGCGTGCAGCCGCAATACCCTGAGGACGCGGTGCGCGACGAGCTGATCCTCGTACACAGCGCGTTCCCCATCTCGCTGACGGGAAACAAGTACTTCCGCGACCTGATGCGTGAAGTTGACGAGTTCCTTGAACGCAACCCGTCCGAGACGCTGATCGTCTCTGTTAAGCGGGAGGGGACCGGTAACGCGACTGACGAGCAGCTCTCGCGTATCCTGCACGACCACTACGCTAAGGCGGGTAGTCGGTGGTGGGTGCGGCCCAAGATCCCGACTCTGGGCGAGGCGCGTGGCAAGGTTATTCTTATGCGTCGCTTTAACTTGCAGGAGAACCTAAAGGGCGAGCATGGTGGCAATGGTTGGGGTATTGATGCTGCTGCGTGGGCGGATAATACTCCCAATGCTAAGTGTCCCAGCGGCCAGCTTTGCATTCAGGATTTCTATGAGGTGCTGGAGAGTATGAATATCGAGAAGAAGATCAAGTTCGTCTCGGAGCAGATTGATCGGGCTAGCTGTTGTCGCTATCCGTTTGGTGTTCAGCCTGATATGCATGCGACCAAGGATTTCCCCTTCTACGTCAATTTCTTGAGTGCCAGTAACTTCTGGAAGACGGATACTTGGCCCGAGAAGGTTGCTGCTAAGGTCAACCCGGCTATCGTGGATTATATCTGTCGCCGAGGCAAAGAGCATGATGCGGACTGCTCGACGGGTATTCTTGTTACGGACTGGGTTGGTTTGCATGGAGATTGGGATCTTGTGCGCTGCATTGTGGGCATGAATGCCAAACTACGTTTGAGACAGGAGTAGGTGGTGAACATCCTCGACATACATCAGGAGGAAACTCGTTTTTTAGGCGCGTCACATTATACAGGGAATGCAATGATTCATAGGTCAAATAGAAGATATGGTGCACCAAAGTTGTTTTCTTGCAAGTATACATTGATCCTGAAGTAGGAAGAGGGTGTCTTGAGGACAAAACGCAGAATATGATCTATTATACAGGAAAATGAATCAAAATGACAATGGCCAGATTAGGACGATTCGCTCTTGTCGCCCTCCGGTCCCTTCTGCTCTTCCTCCAAAACACTTCGGCGGCTCTCCAAGGTAAAGTAAATACTCTTGCCAGCTCCCTCCAGGGTAGTTGCAACGCTGGAGCTCATGCTCTGCAGGGCGGTAACAAGCTGGGAGCGAAGACCGTCCATGCCACCCTCGATGCTGCCGACCCACTTAGTCTGATCGATATCAAACACCTGGTTGTCGACACGGGCAGCAAGCAAGTTAATCTTGCGGAGACCGTCCTGAACGATGGGCTCGTGGTATTCCGGGTTTGCCTTGCGGGTAGGGGCCTTGAAGCCGGATTCCTTAGGGGCGAGGATTGACAGCGCGGCCTTCATGTGTTCAGGCGAGACTGTAGGGATGGAAAGGACAGCAACAGGGCCGATGAGCAGAGGAGAAAGCTCGTGCATGCCCTTCATGTTCTTAACTGCCTCGTGGGCAGTGCGAGACAAGTCGTGTGTCAAGGCCGGGTCATCCTTCGAGCCGGAAATCGCAGGGATCTCGGCAGAGGTTTGTGTCACGGGGTCAATTGCACTGGGGGGATTTCCTGAACCCAGGGAAGCCTCGCTGGGCCGGAAGTACTCGACGATGCGCAGAGCCACCTCGAAGATGCTGGTCTGGATGGTCTGGATCTTAATGTAAGGAGCGAGGGCAGGCGCTGTCCGGCCTTCGGCGGCAATCTTCTCGTCCACTTTTCGCAGAGCAATGGTTAGTTCTCGTCGGATGGCGGCCCATTCCATGGACTTAAGGTTGTTGTGTTGGAACAGCACGATGAGAGGAGATGTGCGGAGAAGGGAGGTGTATGACCGCAGGAGCTGCGACCGGCGGTATTCGGGATTGCGGTGCGAAGGTGGCTGGGTAGGAGGGAATCTCGATACGGGAGCTGGTGAGCGTGTCATCTGCTCAATTGAAGCAGCTGGGGTGACTGCCGCAGCGCTGGATGCGCTCCTGGTAATTCGAAGTTCATATTGGCATCGCGGAATTTGGTGGAGCGATGAGATTCTTAACCGAGGCGGCATTGTGAATTTAGCTGGTGAAGTTACCAATGCCCAAATTACCCAAAAAGGTGATATACACAGGTCAAGACAGGTCAAGACAAGCCCCCGGGAAATGCAAATGATATTTTTAGGGTCCTAAAAGGGTAAAGTGCTTTGGAGGCGGTGAAGTATTCTGCCGTCTATATCCGGCTTTCATTTGAGTCATTGCCCAGGTGGATGTTGCAGGTATCTTTTTAAGCTTGTGAAACCCCGTTGGGATTGCTGGGCTATTTTGAATATACAGTCGCTTACAAATATTTCAAGGATGGCGACATCATCCATATCCTCTCCTTCTCAGCGGCCAGAGTCTATTTCAATCGCCCCGCTCCTCCAGCGACTTGCCTACCCCGCGGCTGCTGGCATTCGAGTCAGCGCACAAGATCTCCCCGCCGTGAGCGCAGAGGAGATTGCTTCTGCTTTTGCGCTAATCTTTGAGGATCGGCTATCTCATATTCAGACCGCTGCCCTCCTCACATTGCTCCACTCAACCGGCAAGGATAGGGAGGCAGATGTGATTGCGAAATGTTCTCAATGCATGCGAGATGCTGCTTGCCAAGTTGATAAAGGCCCGCTTACGAAGATTATCAAATCTCGTAATCTGAAAGCAGGAAATTATGAGGGTGGATTGGTATGCAATATGCGAACCCGCTCCATTTGTTCAGAGTTATATTGACAGCCGCGATATAGTGTGATATTGTTGGAACTGGAGGAGATTCCCATTCGACCTTTAACATTTCCACAACCTCCTCAATAGTTGCATCTCCTCTCCTCATGACAGCTAAACATGGCAACCGCGCTCAAACGTCGACCTCTGGGGCTGCCGACGTTCTCAATGCCATCCAGCCATTGGCACCCAAGATCGCAGCCGTCACCGCTGAGAACCTGTCCCAGGTTTACGAGAAAACCAACTATTCCTTCTTGTTCGCTCCGAATTTCCACCCGGGCATGATGCATTCCAACCCTGTCCGCAGGGCTCTTGGCCTTCGAACGATTTTCAACCTGATGGGCCCTTTGGCCAACCCCGTTGAATGGGCACTAGAAGCACGGGTAGTTGGCGTGGCATACCAGAGTCTTGGTCCAGTATTTGCCGAGGCTTTCAGACAAAGTGGAGCGAAGAAAGCCATGATCGTGTGCGGCGCAGAGGACATGGACGAAATCAGCTGTGCTGGAAAGACAAACTGCTGGAGGCTCTCTGAGTACCCGAACCCTGCATACAAAGCCCCAGAAGACGAGGCAGATGAGTCAAGTGAAGAGGATATCAACAATCCCCGTACGCTCGTCAAGGTCGACACTTTCCAGCTCCAGCCATCGGACTTTGGCCTCTCTAGTCATCCCCTCAGTGAGGTGGGCGGAGGTAAACTGCCCAAGCAAAACGCGGCAAAGCTGATGAGCATACTTCGAAATGAGCTTCCACGGGATGACCCCATCTTGGAGTTTGTTCTCATGAATGTGGCTGGTCTACTTGTCACCTCGGGCGTCTGCGAGGCCGATACGAGCAACATGGGACCTGGCGATGATGGTCAGGTCATCACCGAGCGTGGCCCTGGCGGTGGCCGCTGGAAAGAAGGCGTGCGTCGCGCACGATGGGCAATCGAGAGCGGGCAGTCTCTGAAAAACTTGGAGCAATTCATTGAAGTGACTAACCAGCTCTGAAGTAGAATCTTGGTACTAGTTCTGTAGGATTGGATTTAGGATGTTATAATCTTTTCGAGTTATAATCTTTTCGGGTTTCGGATTGGGTTATGTCTGTTCTGATGAGTGCACTGATGTACGTTTAGATTTGTGGATATTTCGGGCATTTTGGATTCATGAGAAAAGTCCCTTTAATTCTCTGAAAACAAATATAATTGTTTCTAAAAGAAAAGAGCTGAAGCCTGTCCTCATAGGTCCGGAGTTGGACTGGGACTAGAGAACATGGCCAGAACATCATGTCTGGTTATTCTTGGAGATCATAGAAAAAAATTGTTCGTGTGATTCAACACCAAAGCGCCATTGTATGCATAATTCGTCAAAACAGAGAGACATCAAAACCAAAGGATCTCAGGCCGATTACACCTGAGCCATCGCAACCTCAAAACATCTGATTTTCTTTGCGCAGATTCTTTGCGTAGATGAGATGTCTACCGAGCCTGGAACTGGACCATACTGTTGAGAAGCAAGAAAGAAATTAGCCCATGCCTCGCGCATATCGCATGATAATTCCCAATGAAAATCTTACCGCTTAGTCCGCTCCTTGTACAGCACACGGTGACCGCAGTCCTTGCAGCGGATCTGGTCGCCGCGCTTCAGGGGAACACGGGCAGAGCACTCGCCGCACAGGTAGGTGACTGAGGGGCTGTCGATGGCCATGGCATTGCCGAAACCGCCGGCTTGGTCGAAGTTGTTCTGGGTGCCCATCGAGGGGACCTGGTAGGTTTCGCGAGACATCGTTGGGTTGAGAGTAGTGCGGTGATGAAGTGAGTATTTTGCGCGCGACTTGATCGTGTCCGGTGGGAGGATGAGAGTTGTGAGGTGGAAACTAAGCTCGAGGCTGAGATACTTGGATTCTTTTTCTTTCTGGAGCGCGGGATTTTTAGGTGCCTAGTCATACATTTGACGGATTAGTCATCAAAACCAGGCCCGATCTGGAAGCATAGAAGTCCTCTGATTGATTTTGTACGAAATTTAGTAAGGAGGGCTTCGGTTATATGATCAGATAGCTTCATTAATATCATTTATCGTATCTGAATCTATTTACACCTTTTTGCATGCATTTATCGTGTCATAACCTTAAAACAATTCAGCACCTCATATATCATCGACCGTGACTTCGAAAAAAAACGAAAATATGGTATATCCCCCAGAGACATGCAAGAAAAATCAGATCCCGGCGCCATGCAAATGAAGCAAAGAATAGGCCACGAAGAAGTCCACAAGGGTGGATCTTGCGGCAGCGAAATGAAGCAGACAAAAGTTACCAACCACCACCAATCTTCCCCGCAAGCTCCACAACCCGACTAGTATCATTAGCAGGCGCTTGATCCTTGCCAACATCACTTTCTACCTTGCGATAGGTAGTGTATACGAGCTTAGAGAGAGGAATGTTCATATATTCTGACCAGGACCGCAAGCGTTCATGAATTTTAGCCTCCTTGTCAGCCAATGAAAACAGCTGAGACTGAGTCTCCAGTCCAGACTCAGACTCAGACTCAGACTCCATGGAGAAGTAAGCCTCGTCAACACGAGCAAGCCACGCGCGCTGCTCATGTGGTGATGGCTTCATAGATGTGTCTAGTGCCTCTCCTTGGGAGGGACCAAGGGTTTCTCTGGCGTCCTCGACTCGGATCTGGCCACCGCCATTCGTGCACCCACCAGGACAGGCCATGACCTCCACATAGGCGTAATCTGATCCTGAGCTGCCTGTGGACACAGCGTTACGAGACATAGGCTGGCGGCGACCTGCGGCGGGTCTGGCGGCTGGTTTCGCGCCGGGAAGCCTCGACACCCGCGCAGGCTTGAGCTTCCGAACAAGGTTTTGGATATTTCGGAAGCCATAATAGCGAGCTGCTTTCAGAATGGGTTGGCCCTCTTGAGACATGAGCACGTACTCGACAACGTCAACATTGCGTCCGCGGTTGATTACAAGTTCGCTGCCTGGATTGCGAGCTTGGAAAGTCATGAGAACATGGTGTAGGTAGCCTCCAGAGGTACCTGTAGCTAGAGATTGTTCCGCGCGAGAGCGCTTGAAGGAGAGGAAGGAATCGAGGATTTTTTCGGGGAAGGGTGGGGTGAAAGACAAAGGCAGAGGTTGCAGAGGGAGGTTTGGCAGTGAGGACCCTCGAGATGAAGCCAGAGACAGAAGCTCGCGAGCAGTGATAACACAGTCTACGTCGCGAACAGGCTGTATATCAGAGCCCGCAGAATCTCCTTGCCGCCACGACACATCCGTGAGTTCTTCTCGACTAGCTTCTAGCTTCTTGTCAAAGCAGGGCATGACTGCCAGATGCCAAATCCGAGAAGGATGGACCCCGAGAGACTTGCTCAAAACAGTCTTGAGGAACGTTCCCGACAGAGCCTGCGGGGACTTGAGTCGAGAAAGGTGTGGAAGGATAAACGGGTGAGTCTTCTCGGCGTAACAAATCCACCCAGGACAAGCGGATGATAAGATAGGTCGTTTGGGAAGAGAGTAATCCGACTGGCCCGGTGCTGACGAGTCCTCCGAGTGAAGTGACTCCGAAACCTCGTCTGCAGTGAGTGCCAATACAGCCTCTCGCATGACATTGGTGTCGACGACCCATGTAAATCCATTGCCGTGTTTACCCCCACCTCGCAAGCCCTGCGGGCCACTAAGTAATTGGCTTATCATGTACCCAGCTTCTTTCTCTGAAATTCCATAGGTTGTTGCCAGACTTGCCCTGACTTGCGGGCTGACACTGGCCACGAAGATCTTACCCTCTCCAGAGTCTTCGGTATTATTGACTCTCACCCCATGAGGCTCATGCGTCAATGGAATCTCCGGATGCGCATCAAGCGTATTAAGGACCTCGGCGTGGGACTGGAGGGATATCAATACTGCTTCGGCAGACGTAACGCAGCCGGAGCAAGCGAGGCAGTCTGTCAAAGAAATCTGTGCGGGGGGTAGATCCTCAGGCTGGACTTTGTCTTCCGTCGTTACTTCATAGGCGTCCTATAATTAAAATGTCAGTAAAGAAACTCTAACACCACACGGTCCCAAGGAGATCAATGAGCGGACATACTTCTTGATTCTTTGTATCTTTCTGCGGAAGAGTTTCAACTGGTTTGATACACGCGACCCCGGGCGAAATGAAATCATTCAGATCATCTGCTGACAGGATCGCGCTCATTGTGGCGGAGTACTGCTTTGGGCCCTGAATGAAGAGAAAGAAGCCTAAATTTTGCCAATTTAATTGCAAGGAATAATCAGAACAAAGACATCGAAACCTTGAAAGATTAAAATACTTCTGCGAGATGGCGAGCCAACGGCGTTGCATGGTTTGTCATGGTGGCGAGATCGGAGATAAGCTCACCGCCATGGCTGCACTTGCCCTGATTGGTCGGATTGGAAGTATGCACGCGACCCACTTGATGTTGCTTTCAACTCTACTTCCCACCGTTCGAGTCTCGAGTCTTTGTGTTCTCCTATTCTTTCAATTTGTACTATCCATGGATGTAGGGCTTACACTTAGCCAATTGGTGAGTAAAAATGGGTCATAAAGAGCCCCTGGAAACCTCGTCTTCATCAAATTAGCAACTTCTCTACTGTTTCTATCGCATATCTATTACCTTCAAGATAGAAAAAGCCATGCCAAAAAGGAATTCTACCCGGTCCGATACCTCCAAATCGTCAAGCTCCAGACAATCAATAGGTTTTCAGTATGCGAACCAATCACCTACCACAAGCAAAACCAGTCTCAGCAGTAGCGGCCTCACTAGAGTGATGAGTACCATCTATGAGACATTCTCAGGCTCCAAACAAATGACTGGTCTTGATGGTGAGGAAATGGATCCTGGCCTTCGCACACCACCCGACACTTCATCCGGCTTTTCACTTACACTAGGAAGTCCGGCCGGTCTGGCTAAGAAACGACGCCCTAGTATTCGTGGAAGCAAGGGCAGTGGAGTCATGAAGTCTCGACGCAGTGAAATGGAGAGGGTGGTGGCGACAACAAAGAAGGCCACGCTAGCAATTTTGGCCAAAACAGAATTGGAGGGAACTCGGTTTGGCTATATGGCGAACCAATGGACCGCTCCTGAACTGTACTCTACTTCCGTGGAGTACCCAAACGTGACCACTATGGTTAGGGTCGTGGCAGGAGACACATATGACCGGGCCCTCGAGATGCAAGACGCTGGCAGCACCACCGATCACATGCCAGTATGTGTCCTCAACTTTGCCAATGCCTTTAACCCCGGTGGAGGCTGGCTCGGTGGTTCTCAAGCCCAAGAGGAACAACTTTGCTACCGAAGCACTCTCATCGATACTCTCCATACCCGGTTCTATCCAATGGAAGATTTGGAGTGTCTCTATTCACCCAATGTGATTGTTTTCCGAAAGAGCGTGGACAGCAAGTATAGCTTCATGGCAGGGGGCGGCGAGCTACACCTGAACCCTACTGTTAGCGTTATTAGCATGGCAGCGCGGGACAAACCTGGATTAGTGAACGCCGACGGACTCACATATAAGGACGCGGCACAGAAATGTCTCATGATAGCCAAGATGCAACTGATTCTACGCACGGCAGCACACAACAATCACCGCCGCTTGGTCCTCGGTGCCATTGGTTGTGGGGCCTTTCGCCATCCCGCTCAGGTGGTAGCCGAATGTTGGTACGAAGTTCTCATGAAAGAAGAGTTCAAGGGGTGGTTTGAGAAGATTTATTTTGTGATCAGAGACTCTCCCGCTGAGAACAAGCTTGGAACTTTCGTAGAGACATTGGATGGTTTGAACATCGGATGAGTCTGGATGAGTCTTGCAAGGTACAATTTCATTTCTCTTTGTTGGCATCTCCCACTTGGGAGATGTTGAGGAATTTTCAGCGAGGCGCAAATTATACAAGAAACTTTGAATCAAGAGCCCTGGAGTGTAAACAGCTACATAACGTAGGCTTTCCTATATGTAGTTTTTTCGACAAAATATAGACCTCTTCTGGTTGCTTGCGATGATACATCATGTCAACGGGTTCAAGGCGTTCTTTCTGTATTTCAGTCGGCCATTCCTTTTATGTGGGTTTAAAATTGACATCTTTTCCCTAAATGCCCTACCTCACAAAATCTATTCGCCAATATGGCTTCCGGAAGATGATAACATGTGAAAATGTATTGCTTTTGCTTCTTTTTTCCAATACCGGCTATAGCTAGGATGAATTTTATAAGCATTTAATCTCCAGTCGAGCTATAAATATAGTGAGATCCCCTATAGATAGCGAAGTGAGATCCCAAGCCCCGTTTGTATATAGAGATTTGTGCACACCTGGCAGCCATGATATCCGTATGGACCCATCTTGCACTTTACGGGCACTTAGGTCCCCGTCCTAGGTAGTACTTAGTCGTTGGCATATCCAACTTATACAAACCATGCGATCCTAGTTCGAATCACATATATATCAATATCTTGGTTCCGCTTCTATAGTGCTCTTCCTTTATAGAAATACTAGTTATCAGGCTAGTCCTATTAGTTAGGCGAGTTAAATAGTGGGGGGGGGGGAGAAACGCATGGTATTCTTTATATAGACTAATTCTTGCTAAGTCCAAGTTTCCCGGAGGAGGCACTCTTATACCTCTTCGTCCCTAAATCGTGCCTATCACGATGATATGTTCAGCTAGCTTCCAAGTCCTCTTTCGGACACTAGCAGTTGTCAGGATGATCATATGGTCAATCCTTGGCAACCCTCAAAGAAGCTCGAGACAAAGAGATCTTGGTTCCGCTTCCATAGTGCTTTTCCTTTACACTTGACCACACTAGTTTCACAACCACGGGTTGTAGTTCACCGGCAACAATCACCGCTACTCTTCCTTACGGACGACCTTTACGATACATATCCCACACTAGTCGCCAGCCCGTTCTCCACTTGGTAGGTGAAGGTGTGATCGTGGTACGGTTTCCGCAGTCGCGGTCCGGTATTGGCCGTATGATGCATCGTCGACCGAGGTTAGGCGCGTGCGAGGCATTTTTGCTATTAGCCCATATCGCCACACTATGCCTTCGAGATTCATCGGTTGGGTGCGGAGAGACCGGAGAGACCGACGATGACAACAACTGGGCGCCACGGGATTCGCGACGAGGCAACGGAGAGTCGTTCTGCGACATTAGGGGCTGTGCAAATGTAACCTCAGATGAGCCGGATGGAGCGGGGCATGCGGCATCGAAGATAGTATGCCGGAACTTTGCAGATGCAATAGAGGCCGGTGGAATGAATGACGCTCAACGAGCAAGGCGCTCTAGCAGAGGAGGCGACCTAGATAGCTTCGTAGCACAATGCACTGTCACTCCCCTAGGAGAAGAGTAGGAGGGAGTATCGACACGAAAGCGAACGATGCGGCTGCGGGCTGGATCATCCCAGGGGGTCTGCACCTGGGCGACTAGATGGCATGGCAGCCCATGCCGGCCAGAATGAGCTGGGCGTCGGATAGAGCGACATCTCCGGTAAAATGAAAGGGGCAGTGCGTCGGGCTGAAAGCCAATGCGCAGGCGACGGTGGGGGCGAGAAATAAAGGGGGCAGAGAGGGAAAGAGAAGGGAAAGTGCGTCGACAAGTCGAGGGGAGGGCGAGCGGTGTTATATAGATGAATGGCAGATGGCCGGGGCGGTAAAAGCGGCCAGGGACGGGCCTAAACCAAAACGGGGGGAGGGTGAGGGCGCCAAACCCGAAGGGGTAAGGGGATGGTGCAAACGGGCAGGCGGTCAAAGGCGGCAGGACGGCGGTGCAATGGGAGCCGTTTCCAGCGCCCCGCTCACCGTGTCAATGAATACGCTAGGGTATGCATTAGTGCTCATCCTGTTTTTCGAGTGGTTATAAATCCCTTCTAACCTCCTTCCCATTTCTATCCTCTCCTTCCTTCTGCGATGCAGGTCACCAGGCCGAGTCCCGCTCCTTCAGTCTCTCAGAAAAAAATAAGCTGGATCAGGGAGCTGACTTCTGGAAAACTAAGTTATTACAACCATTTGGGTCCAAATGTCGCTACGGTCTTCTACTAGCTGCTCTCTTTCTTGGGAATACACACCATTCCTTGAAAATAACTAGGTAAGGTGAGTGACAGGGGGAGGGTGCGTTAAGTGTGCAAAGTGCACACTTAACGCACCTGTCGGTGAGTTATAGTTGGGGTAAGGTGTATTAAGTGTGCACTTTGCACACTTAACGCACCCTTGTTAGTGATCGGCAAGCTAGTAAGAGCAGTCACTCTCTTCCTAGTCAATCATTCTCCAAGATTGTCGCCGCTTTAACCATGGGACCCCCCAGGGTCCCTAAAAGAGACTGGCAAGAATTAGTCTTCGCACTCCAGACAATACATTGTGTTCTCCTCCAAGCCATAGTATCTTACCCGGTTGACAGGCCATACACCTGGAAACAGTATCCCTTTACAATATGAAACATGAACTTCGTAATATAATAGCCATTAAAAAGAGATAGTCTATAGATTCTTATAATAAAAGCGCCTTGATTTCCACCTAGGATCTATCTTTCTTTTTCACTAAGCCAGAACTTACAGACTTAGTTTTCCTAAAATATCAATATTACCAGACTCGCCAGAATGTCTAACATTAGAATGTCAATATTAACCCAGAACTTAACGTTTCTAACGTCCAAATAGCCGACCTTAGCCGTACTTTCTTCATATGCTAGTAAGCATACTCTACAAGAGGCACGCCACTATAAGTCTCACCCTACTAGTCCTATAGCGCATTTATCTAACGGAAGTAAGAGATAAAGAGACTACTATTGGGGTGTGGTCCCGCCTCTTAGATGTAGTGGCCTAGATTGTAGGAGCTGGTCGGAATCTTCTGCGCTAGGTAGGGTAGAAGGCGGATTCCGCCTCACGGGCGACCGTCGTCTATAAAGAGACTATAATTCCACCTAGGCCTTGACAAGTACTGCAGTGCCAAACAAATTTCGGTACTGTTTATCGGTACTGCAAGGTACTGCAGTACCAAGCGAATTTTGATACTGTTTAGTGTACAACAACAGAGTCTCAATCCATAGACAATGCGACCTGTACCTTGTCTTCGCTTATGTCCTGATCTTCTTTGTATCCTGGAAGAATGGAGATGACAAATAGCGTTACCTAAGTTCCTCGTCCAGGCAAAATACTCACTGCCGAGGTATATGGGGAGAGGGTATTGGGGGTCAGGTCCGGGGATTTTGGCCGCATGACTTCGTATTTTCAGGATTCATTAATCCCTAGGTATGGTTTAAGGTAGCCATAGACCGTTGAGAGGTGCCATATGAAATCAGGCACGACAGGGAAAAGGTGAAACAAAAATATACAATATTGAGGGATTTTCGGTCTGCGCCTAGCTACCTACATAGGCGTAGCTATAACGTACGTAACTGATATGCCCGGGGATGCTCCTGAACCGATAGGCGCGAGGCTGTCGCTCAGATGGGGAAATGGACGAGTCCTCTTCCAGTCTGTAGAAAAGGAGAAAATGCGGTCTAGAAACACGTCAGGGAATTCAGCCCACCGTGTGGACTCACTTGCGGAAGGTGTCAAGGTTTCGCTCATATTCGTTCCCGACAAGATTATCTATAGGTTAATTATATTTTTTTTAATGGATTGATTTTCATCGGTCTTGTTTACCCAGCCGGGATGACCGCTATGGCAACCCTTCCAATCCTTCTTTACGCGTCAGATCTTAAGAATAGACCCTCGAACCTTTGAATCCCCATGCACACATCATCCTCGGATTAGGTGCGGCGAGGGATTTCTTACAAGCCCCTATAGTCCATTTTAAAATCCCAAAAACGTGCACACCCCTACCACGGTGACGGAAGCCGTCCGGAAGCATATCGTGGTGATCAACACAAGCTCCTTGATCGAACAGAGCCAATAGGCAACCCGCTATACTGCCTATTGAGGCAGAGGTACCAGCCGTGGCGGTCGGGGTTGTCTGACAGGGAAAGAATTTTGCTTTTTTCTTCATGTTAATTTTTTAATTGCTTGGGTCGGAGATTTAATCCATACGTATTATCTACCTAGATAGGCTATATGGAAGTCTGGTTAGATGAGTTCAACATTTTGCCATGAGGAAAGAGCATAGTTTTTAATTCTTGTCCTTGATGCTGTCACTATTTTGGAGTCTACATATAACCTTGACCACCCTGGAAAGAGACAGGAAATAAAAATAAAATAGAAAGAATACAAAAAGAATATGAAAAGAAAAAGG